CTATGACAACTAACTTTGGGGTGGTAGCGATTGTTTTGAACTTGATTTAAAGGTGTAACGTTTCTGCTGGAGGGTCTGTCAGACTGTGGAGACTTGTGAAAGTCAAATTACAGTAAGTAAGAATGTTTTTTTAAAAGATATTTTTAAAGAATAAAAACATCTGTAGGTGCAAAACAGAAATGCAAGACAGATCAGTTTAATGCCATACTGTGGACAATATCACGAATTTCAGACTTCTAATGCATACTGGGACCATATCACTTTTGTTTCTGGTTCTGATATTGTCATATTTTAGTTTTGGGATTCGGACATGGTAATTGTGTGGTTGTTGGATCCTAACAGCGGAAAACGGGCTTTGGAAGTTTGCCTTGTCTTGGTCTCTTTGCAGTGGAAGGTGTTTCTTGGTGAACAGCTGGTGTCTTTCGCTTTGGCGTTGGCTTTTTAAATTCGTAACCAAGGTTGATCGAGGGATCGGGATTTTGTTTTGATGGCGCTCCACATACAAAATGTTCACTGTAAACTCGGGATGATTTCTTAGGCAGCCAAAAATTTCCTTTTTGGTCCTTCCTATGGATCAATCCTGCCCATCGCCTTCACCTTTCACTATTTTTCAATTCCGCTGGGAAGAGAAACAGTTTGAACGGAGGTTTGCAGTCACACACATCTGATTCTGTTTTGCAGTTATAGAGTTTGCAAACTTCCAAAACCCGTTTTCCGCTGTTAGGATCCAACAGCCACACAATTAACGATGTCTGAATCCCGAAACTGAAATATTACAAAATTTAAACCAGAAACAAAAGTGATATGGTTCAAAAGACTTGAAAAGATCAACTTTGTCAATAGACACATCCCACTGGGAAAACAAACATGTAGGTTTGATGCTCACTTTTTCAGAAAATCCTTCCCAGTATGAATTGTGCAATGACCAGAAAACCAAAATCTGTGATGCATGTATCCAAACCAAAGCATGAACATCTCCATGGAGACAAACAGGTTGCAGACCCTCTGCAGAAAAATGACACAGTGCACCTTCAAAAATACTTCGACGTCATACTATTTATTTAACATTTAGTATGAGCCTTTTGCTGTGGATGTGCTCCGTAGTACTCTGTGTGTAACATAGAAGCTGAGGGTTCAATTCCCATGTGGTAAACCCCCTCAGGAAAAGCAGCTGCCGGAGATAACTGTACTGTACTCTTTTACTGTACTGTACTCTTTTACTGTACTGTACTCTTTTACTGTACTGTACTCTTTTACTGTACATGTTGTAGCTCAAGTTAGTTCGAAGGGAGTTGAAATACCGGTCTACCTCAGCCAGTATTTTTTAAAATAATAACTTGACTTAGCCTAATTAAGAAAAGCACACAATGTACTTTTTACGGTCCACTGCCTGCTGGTTTCCATAGAGATGTTCCTGCTCTTCTTACACAATGTAGCATTAAAAAGCTCATATTAACACTAGTTTCTAATCTGTGGTATAAAGTAGTTTCCTCATCACAAACAGACCTGGAGTTGTGTTTTGTTTCGTTCAAGTTTAACACACAAACCTTTCATGTTCACGCTGATTTCTTGTTATACAGAAACTGCTCCTCTGTGTTTTCAAACTCCGCACACCATCACTAAAATCATTTGGATGATTTTAGCTTTGGAATTGTCTGTCGGCTCAGCTAAAAGGAGCTGTGAAGTTGAAAACTATTACTACATGACATCACAACGTAGAACAGAGCATGTGTGAATGAAACAAAACACAACTCAAGGTAAGTTTTTGATGCGATAACAATTACAACATGATTTAAAGCTCACAAGAACCCTTTTTGTGTAATATGGGACCTTTAATCCAAATCAAAAATCCATAAAATGAAGACAAAAAAAAGGTAAATTGCTAAAATGTGATCATACCAATCCTAAAACAATAAAACCAGTAAAAATCTAACAAAAGCAGAACCATAAAATCATAAAATAGCAGTAAATAATTCAAATAAATCAAATAAATGAAAGACACAGAGGAGCCCACAACTCACACAGTGTTAAAAATCATAGAGTAAAAGGGTTTTAAAATGAGACTTCTACTGTGTTTAATCTTCTATCTATTGTGTCTCCATGAAAACAAGCACAACCGGGCCAAGTTACAGATCAGGTCTATGAAGAGGCCGCCCTGTTCTCAGTGGGGATGCATGTTTTTCAGGGCAATAAATACACCTGTAATTGAATAAACACTTACAGAGAACTTTAAAGCCATAGAATCTCCATCGTGATATTCCTTCACCCGAAAACTCCACATCACGTCACTTTAAATCACCTCATAAAGCTGTTTGCTAAATGGAGAATGGTCACTTTTTTCCACTTTCAAAGCTTTCAAAGCACTTCACATCAACAAACCACTCACCCATTCACACACACACACACTCAGACACTCACACACACTCACACACCGGTGTACGCAGACACTGGGGGCAAGGTGGGTTATGTTAGGGTGACCAGATTTTCAAAATAAAGACCTGGAACATCCCTGGCTTGTGGTGGTTGGTAATAATAAACTTGTGAAAAGAGTGAGGAATTACCGAAAATTGTTCTGCACTCGGCACTAATGTGAGTCAGTATAGTCACATTTTCTTTGTGTTTTGGTCATTTTTAAGCAGATTTTCTGTATTTGACCAAAACAAATGACAGTTTATGTTTCTTTTTACTGTTGCGGGCATCAAATTGGTCAAAAATAGGGACACCTGGGATGTTTCTTGTATAAAACTTGGACAAATCAGTGGTTTTGGATAAATCTGCTGGGACAGGGGACACAAGGCTCAGAACTGGGACTGTTCCAGGTAAATACTTTGATTTGATTTGATTTGATTCAGATCCCCATTAGCTGATGTCTGTGACACCAGCTGCTCTTCCTGGGGTCCACATATAACACACAACAACAACAAATAAGACACTTACAAACAAAACAGCTACACAAAGATTAAAATCAGTTCAAAACTCATTTCTTAATAGAATTCATTACTGATTACTGATAGTGAAGGGCTATAAAATAGTTCTCACTAGTTCACTTATTTTTTTTTACACCTGGTCACACTAGGTTAAGTGTCATGCCCATGGACACAACGGTAGCATTCGTCCGTGGGGCCAGGAATCGCACCACAGCGGATCTGACCTCACAATCGATGATGTTTATGTCAAGAGCGGGATTTGAACCATGGACAAAAACCCTACAAACTACACTCAGATACATGATAGTTATTTTAAAGTGGGTGGGTTAAGTTAGAGTGACCAGATTTTCAAAATAAAAACCTGGAACATCCCTGGTTTGTGGTGGTTGGTAATAATAAAACTGTGAAAAGAGTGTGACAATACCAAAAAATTGTCCTGCACTCGGCAATAATGTCACATTTTCTTTGTGTTTTGGTCATTTTAAAGCAGATTTTCTGTATTTTACCTAATCAAATGACAATTTATGACTCTCTTTACTGTTGCAGGGATCAAATTGGTCAAAAATAGTGACACCTTAAACATTTCTTTTATAAAACTGAGACAAATCAGTGTCTCAAAGTATAAATCTGCTGGGACAGGGGACACAAGGCTCAAAACTGCAACTGTCCCGGGTAAATACAACAACAACAACAAATAAGACACTTACAAACAAAAACACTCACACAAAGATTAAAATCAATTCAAAAATCATTTCTTAATAGAATTCATTACTGATTACTAATTGTGATGGGCTATGAAATAGTTCTTCACGTCTTTTTTTTAACGTCTGCTCACCCTAGGTTAAGTGTCTTGCCCATGGACACAACGGCAGCATTCATCCACAGCGGATCTGACCTCACAACTGATGATGTTTATGTCAAGAGCGGGATTCGAACCATGGACAAAGACCCTACAAACTACACGCAGATACATGATAGTTATTTTAAAGTGGGTGGGTTAAGTTAGAGTGACCAGATTTTCAAAATAAAAACCTGGAACATCCCTGGTTTGTGGTGGAGTGCGTAATTACCAAAAATTGTTCTGCACTCGGCACTAATGTGAGTCAGTATAGTCACATTGTCTTTGTGTGTTGGTCATTTTTAAGCAGATTTTCTATATTTGACCTAAACAAATGACAATTTATGTCTCTTTTTACTGTTGCAGGATCAGATTAGTCAAAAATAGTGACACCTGGGACATTTCTTGTATAAAACTGGGACAAATCACTGGTTTTGGATAAATCTGCTGGGACAGGGGACACAGTTCTTCACTTCTTTGTTTTTTTTTTTTTTTTTTGCGCCTGGTCACACTAGGTTAAGTGTCTTGCCCATGGACACAACGGCAGCATTCATCCACAGCGGATCTGACCTCACAACCGATGATGTTTATGTCAAGAGCGGGATTCGAACCGTGGACAAAGACCCTACAAACTACACTCAGATACATGATAGTTATTTTAAAGTTACTATAAACTTATTTTAATATAACGTAGCCTAATATAACGTCATATTTTTGCATATAACTTGCATTTTTTGACATGTTCTCCTCTTTCTTTGAATAGGTTACCATCCACTGTCCACTGCTACAACTAATCGACACATAAAACGCATTTACTACGTTTTTGCTGTACCGTATTTAACAACGACGCATGCTCCCGGTCACATTCCTTTACCGTCCCGTGAGCAAACGTGCCCTTCACCTGTGGACCGTAAACCAAGACGCATACGTGACGCACACTTTGTTAACTCCACGCTAGCCTAGTTGCATTTTTTTAATTGTCTGAAAACACGAAAAACACTAGAGGGGATATGTTATTAATGAATGCAGCGGTGCTCGGAACGCGACTCCACCGGGCCTGGCAGCGTCGGAATGCGTAAAGCTCACGTTAAACCGCACGCCCGTAAACGATAAATGCCAAATCGTTATCGCTCATCATACGCTATTACGACCACGCATAGAGTACGACTAATGTTTGGATCTATTTCGCGATCATGCTGCAGGCGCGCTGTGATATGCGTCTGCGCTTCACTTACCGAGAACGCCGTACGATGCCGATGCCGAGGACGTCTGCGGGGCTCGCTGGTGCTGCTGGCTACTGCTGCTTTCCGATTGCTCACTTGGCACCGTCCTGGAAGTGTCCATCCTGCCCGCTGCCCCCTCCGTGTCTTCCGCGGAGCTCGTAGCGGTGGAGCTGGTGGAGGTGCTGGTGGAGGTGGAGGTACCGCTGCTGGTGATGTCGCTCTCCGCTCCCGTTTGCATCGCGGTGGGCTCGTGAGGATGAGGGTGATGGTTTGGGGAGGTAAAGGCTGGTTTGTTGTTGGCACAGGTGGGAGACGGTGAGACGCAGAGGGGGGTCGGTAGGTGGCGGTAGGTGGCGGTGGTTGTAGTTGGACCGTGGATGTGTCCTGGATCACGGCATCTTCGCGTCGGTTCCCCGCGCGCAGAGGCACCAGTCGTGACCGGGCTGTGACGACACGGAGCGGGGAGACACCACGAGACACCACAACAGGTCCCTTACATGCGCTGACGTCACAGAGGGAGAGCACATGTGTGAACAGGGAACATGTGTGAACAGGGAACATGTGTGAACAGGGAACATGTGTGAACAGGCATGTCAATCAACACAAACAAGACCAATACTACAAACACTACTGCGAATACTACTACTACTACAAACAAGACTACTACTACTACTACTACAACTACTACTACTACTACTACTACTACTAAACACTACTACTAATACTACTACTATGAACACTACTGCTAATACTACTACTACTACAAACAAGACTACTACTACTACTACAACTACTACTACTACTACTACTACAAACACTACTACTAATACTACTACTACAAACACTACTGCTAATACTACTACTACTACAAACAAGACTACTACTACTACTACTACTACAACTACTACTACTACTACTACAAACACTACTGCTAATACTACTGCTACTACAAACAAGACTAGTACTACTAGAAATACTACTACTAATACTGGTCTACTACTACAGACAAGACTACTACTACTACAAAACCTACTGCTAATACTACTGCTACTACAAACAAGACTACTACTACAAACACTACTGCTAATACTACTACTACTACAAACAAGACTACTACTACTACTACCACTACTACTACTACTACTACTACTACAAAACCTACTGCTAATACTACTGCTACTACAAACAAGACTACTACTACAAACACTACTGCTAATACTACTACTACTACTACAAACAAGACGACTACTACAAACACTACTGCTAATACTACTACTACTACTACTACAAACAAGACGACTACTACAAACACTACTGCTAATACTACTACTACTACTACAAACAAGATGACTACTACTAGAAATACTACTACTAATACTGGTCTACTACTACAAACAAGACTACTACAAACACTACTACTAATATTACTACTACTACAAACAATACTACTGCAACCATTACTACTCATACTACTACTACTACTACTACTACTACTACAATTAAGACTACTACTAATACTACAAACACTACTAACTACTACTACTACTACTACTACAAACACTACTGCTAAAACTACTACTGCTACAAACAAGACTACTACTACTACTACAAACACTACTACTAATACTGGTCTACTGCTACAAACAATACTACTGCAACCATTACTACTAATACTACTACTACTATTACTACAACCACTACTAATACTACTACTACAACCACTATTGCTAATACTACTACTACTACAAACAAGACTACTACTACTACTACAACCACTAATACTAATACTACTACTACTACAAACAAGACTACTACTACTACAACCACTACTACTAACACTAGTCTACTCCTACAAACAAGACAAACAGAGGGTAGAGTAAGTGGCCAAAAACTGTACTCATCAAACTAGTATTACTCAAGTACACAGCAAAAACTGGATGGTTAAAATTTCAGGGTAAAATATTTCAGAGTTGTTTTTTAACACAAAAAAGTGTTATTTTTAATTTGAAAGTCAAATGTGGGTTGGGGTTGGGGTAATTTGCCAGAGTTAAGTTAATTCAATTTAGTGTTAATTTGGCACCAGTTTGAACCAGTTTTGTTCATAATTTCATCTTAAATTAACTCTAATAAAGTGTAAAAATAAAACACCTCTGTGTGTTGTTTAGATAAAACAGGATAACCCTACAAAGTGTTATCTGTTTACTCTCAAAACATTAATATAACTCTTGATTTCAGGGTTAAACAGGAACTTTGGTCCAGTGCTACTTAATTTAACATTTCCAAAAATGTAAATTAACTGTTCCAAACTTTTCAAATTGATTCTCTGAAAGTCAATTTTAACACTTCACTTTTTGCTGTGTAGAAGTACAAAGTAGTGGTCCAAGAAAGAGTAACTTAAAGAGTAACTGTCAGGACGTAACAAGTTAATTTGTAATGTAATCTGAAATACAAAACATTACATGATACACTGTTATTTTCAAAGGACAGACACACAGAGAGAGAGAAAAAAAACACATTATATCTGAAGGAATGGTGCAAGAAACACAAATGTTCACATCATTTCATATTGTCACATGAAGCTTTTGTCACTTTAGTTTAGACTCACTCACAGTGGGAAGAGTAAGCAGACATTTTACTCGAGTAAGAATACTAATACCTAAAAACTAAATAAAGTAAAAGTATGCTGCTAGAAAAGTACTCGTAAAAGAACAATTTCTGCAAAAAGTTACTAAATATAACAGAGCACTACCCAGGTCTGACTACAGGCACTAAACTGAAAACATTTGCTCTAATCGTCTCTGTGCACAGGGGCGGGCGGTAGCTCACTGTTACTTCCTGTCTAATCTGAGCTCTATGGCCTCGTTTTTTAGGTTGAGGTTTTCGCTGAGTTGTGCTACAGTGAATGAACAACATGTTAAAAAGTTCAAAAACAAAAGGAATACTTGTAGAGGATACTTCTGTGTTTAGAAAGAGAGATGTTTGTGTCTGTGAAGTACTCTGCATCTACAAATAACTCTTTATTTTAATCTGTTTGAATTTGAATAGATTGTTTATTTTATATTTTTTGATTTTAATAAAAGTGACTGTTAGCTTTGAGACACACCATCAACACCACTGCTACTACTATATATTAATACTTGGCTACACTGCTACTCTGCACAAAGTCCATATGTAAATAAGTCTGTTGCAACACCGTCGACTGGTTCATGGACTACTGAAAATGAGTTCTCAAACATTTAGCCTGATTAAATAAAGGTTACAAAAATAAGACTAAACTTACAGTCCTATAGTGCACTTAAAGATGCACTGTGTCACTTTTCAAATGCTTTTCTTCATAGAAATGTTATTAGTTTTGTCTGGAGATCATGATATCTTCAGCCTTAAAGTGTGGTGATATATATGGCATCTTCTAGGGAGTGTAGACCTTTTGATGAAAGCCAAGAAGGTGCATTCAATAAAAATAAAAGAGCAGCACTAAATCACATATGTGAAGCCCTGGAGAGAGTGGAGGGAGTCACTTTCCCCTCTGCTGCAGGCGTCACAGCAGGAGCTCTCCTGTGCAGCCTCGACTGTCTCCTGATGGAGTTGGAGGTCAAAGTACTCTGATGATTCAGAGGGAGTCATTATTGGCTTTTATTGTTCATTTTATTTATGGGGCTCATGGAAAAGCTCCAGATCAGATATTATTAAGCCCAAAAAGTCTTCTCCACAAACTGTTCCAGTTTATGAGCACAGTTCAAGTGAGTCAGTCGGATTCTTCAGGCAGTCAAACAGATGCAGATGATTTTGATGCTTAACTTATTCCTTGTGGTTTACATCTTGCAAGAAGTTTAATTGTAATTTTTTAGATATTGAAAACCTAGTTGATTTAAATATCAGTGCGCCAACTCTGGGAGATCCAGTCTCATGGAAGGAATCTGGCCTCGACTTAACACTTGCATCCCCATGTTTAACACGAGTGGGTGAGTGGAACCAGACACACTGGGTAGTGACCACTTTGCAGAGCTCAGTGATTCTGGGAAGTCACTGGTTGAAGATAACAGAGAAAGAAACAGCAGGTTTAATTTTTCCTTAGCTGACTGGAGTAAGTTCAGTGAGTGTGGGTATGTAGGGTTAGAAGATGTTAGTGGTAGTTCAATAGAGTAGAGTAGTAGAGTATTGTGAGTCTCTAACAGCACTGATTATGAAGGCTGTGTCTGACTTTCTCCTTCTTCCTGGGGAATGTTGTATTGTCCCTGGTGGAATAAGGAGTGTAATATTGCTGCAAAGTTTCCTACTCTGGATAATGTTATTGAGTATAAGAAGTGCAGAGCAGCGGCAAGGAAAATCATTAAGGCTGGAAGGGGAAAAAAATGGAGGAACTTCTGTGGCACCTTAAGACCAGATACTCTGTCAGTTCAGCTGTGGAGAAGGACACGCCGAATGACTGGAAAAGGGTCAGTTCTAAAACACCTGTGCTGTCTGATGGTCAAAAGGAGGATATTAACAGTACAGAAAAAGCTGACATGTTTTTAAGGAGGTCCATAATTCAAGGCACTTGGGTGAGGAAATTTTAAGGTTAAGACATGGTACTCGAAGTAAGAATAGCTCAAAGTTAGATGGAGACGTGGTTACTAATAGATAGTATAACTTATTCTTTTCTTTAGAAGAGTTGGAAGAGGTAACACAGACTGGAGTGAACACCACACCAGGACAAGAAGTTGTTGCAGCACTTGGGTGAGGATGTTTTATATGACATTTTGGCCTTGTTTAATTATATGTGGGAGTCTGGTAACCTGCCAAAATCATGAAAACACGCAATTGTGGCCAAAGTCTCGAAGCCAGGAAAGGACCTGTCCTCTTCATCGTCTTATAGACCTATAGCCGAACATCTGCGCTCTGTAATGTGATAAAGAGGATGTTATTTTGTGAATTATCGACACAGCTTTTGAAAAGGGAGAAGCACTATGGATTCAGCAGTGGTATTGGTCAGAGATGTGAGAAAAGTGAGAATTAATATATAAACAGTTTCAGCAGTCTTTTTGATTATTGAAAGGGCTTTTGACAGTTTGTGTCTCCTTAAACTTTATGATGCAGGTGTTAATGATTAGATGTTCAGTTGGATAAATATATATTTTTTGTGGGAAGGTAACACTATCAGAAATAGAGACAGAAAATGGTACAGCCCAAGGTGCAGTTATTAGCCCCATTTTATTTAACATTATGGTTAATGATATATTTTACTGTGTCGATAATAGATTTGGTAAGTCATTATTTGCTGATGAAGGTGCCAGTGGGAGTGGGAGGAATGTTAATTATGTTTTCACAGAAACTCAGAAGACTCTTAACAAAGTTATTCAGTGGGGAAATAAATGGGGATTTAAATTGTCAGTTAAGAAAAGCAAGTGTATGATATTTGGTTTGAAAAGGAAAATTCCTTCATGTATAATTTACCTATTGAGA